GGAATGTCCAAGGGTCCAAGGTAACGTCGACATGTCGCTGAGCAGTAAGCTGGAATGGAACCTAGAACTTTCTTACTGGAAACAGAGCGAGGTTATTTTGCAACACAGTTGCACTACCACTGTATATAGACCCCTGTGATGTGCGAATTAAAATGACAAAAGTGGATTTATGAAAAGAGTTCCCTGCAGATGTAACCATACCCCTTGAACCTTTTCACAATTTGTCACGTTATAGCCACAAATTTCCACGTATTTTTATTTTATCTTTTAGGATTTTAGGTAGGGCTAAAAACAGTCAATCAGATTGATCGTGATTCAGTGATTACTGAAATAATCGTCAACTAATTTAGTAATTGCATTGTTAATTGGAGAATAGAGGCTCTTAAACAAGCTGACAGGGCAACCCACTTAGAACAGTATTATAACAAAAAAATTGTAAAAAAAAATATATATAAATATATTTTGCATTTAAAATTTTCATAAAAATAACTATGCATTATCCAGAACTCCACAAGTGGAAACATTTTAGTTTCACCTGGTTTTTTGTACAAAATCTCCTTTAAGAAACTTTTTGCTATCTGATTATTAATTGATTAATTAAAAGAAAATAATCGAAAGATTCATCGATTACCAAAATAGTTGGTATTTGCAGCCCTAGATAACCAGAAAATAGCACCTTAACATACAGAAGGCAGAAAATAGTGCAGAGCCAGATAAATCTGAAAATATTAATGCATTTGATAAAATAAACATTTATCCAATGTCCTATAATGTAATGTTGGCTTTCTTGTATACAGTGCACACTTTTTCAACATACTTAGATTGACAGCCTATTTTCCTGTATTATCTATCATTTCTAATCAGTGGCTGCCTCCTCTTTGGTGACTTACCGCTCATCAAAAAGCCTCTCCATCCTCAAGGCTCCTCCACAATAACAGAAAACATGTCATTACAGAGACATTGCATCTTTACATTCCCTGTTCGCTACTTCTGCTGATGTATCTGCGGAAGAGCTTTGCACTGGGGTGTCTGGGAACCTTTACAGCACTTCTCTACACCGAGTGATAATGAGAGGAATTTTACACAATGGATCCACTTTTCTCTTTGGAGTCAGCAGGGAGAAATAGCGAGTAGGGTAGAAAGGGAGAAAACAGGATGTTGGGTGAAAAGAGGGGCTAATACCAGGTGAAAAAAGGAGAGGAGAGGGAATGACTGCGAGAGCAGGGAAGAGTGATTGCCTGTTGACTGAATTAGAAAGGATGCATCATTTAATAATTGTAAAACCCACAAAGATGGGGTGTAATAGGACTTTCTTTCCTCCCACTGCTGCATTGGTAATTTATCCCTCCCTCTCTCTATCTCCTCTTTCTGCCTCGCTCGTTCACTCTGACACCCATCAATCTTTTTCCAATTACCTGCTCTGTCTATCCACAAATCCATCATAATCATTTCCATGGAAACGGGTTGCATCCTCCACTGGATTTGGCCTATTGTTAAATATAATTGCACACCAAACAGCGGTCTTTAGAAGAAAAAAGGGGACGCTCAGAGAGGCAGAGACTTGGATATTGTCCCGGCGACTAATGTCTCTCCCGCATCTCCAAAGAGTCAACTTTAGAGATGATTCAGTGCTTAATTTTAACCGTGGCGTTCATTCATCAGACATTTTATAGGCCATTATATGTGAATTGGCTTCATCCTGAGCTGATGAAACATCTTCATGGCCCTCGAGAATGTCAATTATTTTGTAAATGGAAGATGACAACGGTTAATTCACGCTCAGCAAAGCATAACAGATTGTTGTATTTTGGAACAAATGGTTGCCAAGAAATAAAATAGTTCTATAAAGATAGTTTTACTCTCTGCATAACTGTAAATTCTAACAAATCGACAATGTCAGGTTACATCGAAATTGATCAGGACCTGTCATTTAAATCACGTATCAAAGAGGTTTCTAGAATTTCCTCCTTTCTAGCAAAAATTTGAAATCTCCTGTCCAGAGGTGATGCTGAGAAACTAGTCCATCATTTGTTACTTCAAGGCTGGACTATTGTAATTCTTTAGAATCAGGATGTCAGTAAACTGCAGTTAAAAGCCTTCAGCTGATCCAAAATGCAGCCAGAGTTCTGATGAAAATGAAAAAGAGAGATCATATCTCTCCTATCCTGGCTTCTCTCCATTGGCTTCCTGTTAAATCCAGAATAGAATTTTTAAATCCTCCTTCTCACATATCAGCCTTAAATGCCCAAGCTCCATCTTATCCGAGATATGACTGTCCTTGGTCCAGGTCACGATGCATGTTCTCGAAATGTGCAGCCCGATCCATCTGATGCGATCTACCTGCTCACACTGCACGTCCAAAAACAACGTCAGACTCAGCGCCGAGAGATGGCGCTGGTCAGACTCCTCAATCTGGAAGAGGAAGAAGAAGAACTCCTTTGTTTGCACATGCGCAGTGCGTGAGGTCCTGGCAAATCAGCTTGTAGCTTACGACACCTTACGATGGCCGATCGAATTTCAAACATGTTTGAATTTCTCGTGACCTTACGATTCCTGATCGGGATGTGGTCGCAAGAGGCTAATTGCCCCTCCTTAACCCCTATATACTACATGACGCAGGATCAGGCTGAATCTCGGCCCGATCAAAAATTCTCGCACAACTGGAAAATCGTCCCGAAAAGGGCAAAAAATAGTACATTGTATGCCCGGCTTTGGGTTTTAGCTTTATGAAGCATCAATCTTTGTTCAAACTTTTTTATTAGCTTGTTGCTCTATTTTACTTTTTCAAAACACTGGCTTTAATAAAGTTTCCTCAACAGGTGATGGCAAAAGAGATCACTCTCCTCAACAGACTATTATAATGTTGCATTTTGTTGCAAACATTAAAGGCCCCAAGTTTCCTCATGAAATATCACTTGTTTTATCCTTTTTTCTAGACAGCTTTACAGTTGCTTCTCCTGTGCAGTCAGTTGTCCAGGTGAACGCAGGAATATAAATTCCCCCACCACCTCTTCTTCTTTAATAATCGAAATAGTGTTTTACCCATTTTAGGCTCTCCTGAAATCAACACTCTTTTCCTTCAATTCAGCACAATGCCACAAAGCTTTCCACCAATTCCCTGGTACTCAGCTTCTTGTCCATCAGTAATACATCAAACATCTGCAGATTCATTTGAGTATTACAGTTTTCCTTGGTACCAGAACAAGGCAGGAGATCTTGCATAACACTAGAACCGTTCTACTCAGTCTTAAGGAGGTGCTACAGAATCCCTCCGAGTTACTCAGATCTAACCAAGTCTTAAAATCTTAGATCAAGCCAAAATGTCTTGTAAAACTTCTTTGGAGATTGATAGTAATCAAAGGCAGATGCTGTTATATTAAAACATTTTTGATAGTTTAATAAACATAGTTTTATTGCTAATCTGAAATACAGGTTGTTTCCTAGCATTTATTCTTGATTCAGTTAGATGAAAGTGTCACATGGACACAAAAATATGCCACAGTTCAAACATTCTGTAAACCCATTTGCTTTTTGACCTTTGCTCAACAAAATGGCTTAATTGGATTAAAATTCATTATTATTCAGATACAGCTTCAGGTAAATGAGATGTGGGTTACAGTCTGAGGGGGGGGGGGCCCGTAACCCAAGTATTAGATTAAACCCTCTGTGTCCTGCTGTGGGAAGCAGACTCAAGCCAGCATGCTGCAGCCATTCAAGTCAATGTGTATTTGCTGAGCAGATGTTATTGATATGTATAGGCCGCATAATGGTGTGAATTGAATTAGCAAAACAATAACTATGTTATTCAGAGGGAGAACGTTTTCCTACTGCCAAGGACTGCCAGGAGGATGTAAGTGAGAGTTTTTATTTTAAACATGAGAACTGCAGACCCTATGAGACATCCCCACAAAACTGTTAGAGCAAAAAACAAACTCAATTCTATGATCATTAGCTTTCCTTAGATCTGTGGTTCTCGGGCTCTCTAGGGGTAAAAGCCATTGATGTTAATAACAGAAAAAAACTGGGGGTAGTGAGAACAAGTCAGCGTTTCAGCAGATGCAGATTGAAGTATAAAGAAGTTTGTTATTGTCTTGATCAGTGTCAAGCATCATTTTCAAGCTCACTATAGTCCCCCTCTCTTTTCCTCTCTCACTGGTCCAGAAGGTGGCTCTCCCTGCCTCCTCAGAGCAATTAAGTCGCCGGTATAATGAAAGGAAACACAGACAATGGCCTGTCAAAATAAAAGATAGAAAATGATATGACACTAAAACTACTCTCTGGGAAGTTCAAAAAGATTTAAGCAAGGAAATGATTGACTTTTGTCCGAATATGGGAACCAAGGATTTGAGCACAATTAAATGTGTGAATATTTAATTTTTATATTAGGTTTGCAACTAAGAACTGTCTACAATAAGGCCCATCCATCCATTCATCCATTCATCCATCCATCCATCATCAGATCATGTGGTCAGATTATATCGAAATAAAAACTGCTATCATACAATGCAGGTTGCTATATCATAGTTTGCAGAATGATGTTTGCCGGGAGCATAGTCAGAGTTGATAAGAATATTGATGGATCTAAATATGCACAAGATTGCATAAAGAACACTGGCAATAAAGGAAAAAAATGGTTAGACTTGAGCAGATGTTTACCTATCAGCAGGAGAGAATCCCTAAACAGACTAAACTAAAGTAATTTCCCAAACCTATCTTTGGTTAAAAATAAATAATGTAATAATTATAGATCTACAAAGCTTAACTAGTTAAATCAGAACATAAGTTATTCTGTTGATGAATCATATAATATTTTATCTGAAATCCGTATTTATGGTTGTTAAATAAAAATAAAAAAAAACAATCCCTTGCAAATACAGTGGTACTAAAGCAGTATTTTTGCAAGGGACCGTTTGATAAAAGCAGACTCTGTGTTTTATTTTGAAGGGCGGGATCGGAAGTCCATCTGAAACCATGTCTGGTGTGACAGTGAAACCCCCAGTCAGTGTGTGAGTCTGTGAGTGTGCGTTCCGCTGTCCGCACACCGTTCGTCTCCTCAGTGTAGATCGGCTCACCATGGCGGAAGGACGCAGAGAACAACCGCCTCATCCTCCTCTCTGCTTACCACCGGCCAGCAAGCGACCCTGCTTACGCCCCGCACCCCGGGGTCCCGGACCGGGGCCCGGCCATGGCAGTGGCTCCCCCGGCTCCCGGTATCGCTCCCCGGAGTCCCTGCTGGACTGCGCCGCTAAAGCGGTAGCGGAGAAGTGGGCCTTCGAAAGAGTGGAGGAGCGCTTCGAGCGGATTCCGGAGCCCGTCCAGCGGCGTATCGTGTACTGGTCTTTCCCCCGCAACGAAAAGGAGATATGCATGTACTCTTCGTTTCAGTGCAGAGTGGCCGGAGAGGAGGGTCCGTGTGCGGCTGCCTCTGGAACTGGGGGTACGGGGTCCGGAGCTGCTAGCGCCGGGGGCAGTGGAGGATCAACCGCCGGCGCAGCGGCTGCTGTCGGGGCAGCCGGAGTAGTGGGGACGGGAGACGGACTGCCTTTTCGCAGAGGAATCAGACTCCTGGAAACTGGCTGCGTGGAAAACGTTTTACAAGTCGGTGAGTAGAGAAAGCTTTAGGTATTTAATTCGGCACAGAAAGCGAGGGCTGTTTCCGAGTTCCTGCTTTCCCCCCGCAGCTGGATCAGCTCTGGGGATGATTGATGGAAGTTTTTCCGCTGTCGCAGAAAGTATGCGAAGCTTCCACTTTCAACTCCTTTCGAACCACGCGTGTTTCTCCTGCTGCTTTTCGTTTAGCAGACCTAAAGTAAAACATCTGTTCTTGAAGTTTGGAGCTTATTTTCGCAGTAGCGAAGGTCGCTAGCATAGCCGACCAGCTGCTGTTTAAAAATTAAAGGGGCTTCCTTTCAGCTGCCTTCTCTAGTTCCTTTAGAGTTTTTATCCTGTTTTGCCTTCGCGTTAAAGGGGTCGCCTTTCCCAGCAGCGGAAGGGTGTCTCCCTTTTTCTTTTTTCCCTTTTTTTTTTCTCTCTTCCTCTTTGGGGCTCCTTAGCCGCCCGGAGCTGACCGGAGCCCCGACAAGGAGGAGGGCTGACAGCCGCGGATACGAAAGCAGCCGCCGTTAGGGCGTCGGGGCTTTATTTTATTTTTCTGCCTCACAAATTACTTTTTCTCAACTCAACTTCGGTTCAGAGTGGCTTAGGAAGAAAACAAAGGCGGTTATTGGGTCCCCTTATTATGATTAATCCCACGTTAATCCGTAAAAATCCCCCGCTGATTTTTTTCTTCTTTTGTAGGGGGGGTGATTGTTTTTGTTTATTTACTGGACAAAGAACGCTCGGTTACCCGCATATATATATTAAAAAAGCAATATTGGGTGATATTTAATTTTATTTTTATTTATAATTTCAGTTAATCGCGTTCTTGCAACATTTCTCTGCAACACAAAGGCTTTCCAGTTGAAATGATCGATAAGCGTCTCGCATTTCCAGCGCTGCAGAGAGAGGCTGCTTTCAAACAAAGGGCCATTCCGCGAAGCTCCAGCTCCTTCCTCCCCCCCTCATCATCATCATCACCATCAGGCTCAGCAACAAACACAAACTGAAACCCAGGCATCAGGGAAATCGGTGGAATGAAACCGACGGATAGTCTAAAACAGACTTTATATGGTTACCAGGAGGATTTTTTTCTCTCCCCCTCCTCTTCTCTCTGGCCATATGGTGAGAGAGCCACTGGAGCTTTTCTGGGGGTTTCATGTTGCTCTGAGCAGGAGGGGGCAAAGAGTTAAAACTGTGCCTACTGCTTCTTCCACAAATGCTGCATCTAATTGCATCTTATAGATGCTCATTGATTTCATCCCCAAAGAAAACAAAAAAACAAGCAGGGATTTTAAAGTATTTATTCAAGGTTTGCTTGGACTGTAGTTCCTGCAGTTTGGTTCTGCTAGTTACTGCAAGTTGGATCCTCTTGAGTATTGTGCAAAGGGAAGCAAAGCTGAGATTGCCCATAGTAATTGCTTACATAACCACTTCCTGTGCCTAAGCCAGGTGAGGCAGCTCTAATGAGTTTACATTTTTAAAAGGTCCACACAGAGAGAAGCATCTGTTTCTGACAGAGATTATATCAGCAGGTTTTTATTTGTATTTTAATATTGTACCCAAATGATATCCCTCCCAATATGATTTTTTTTTTGTTATTTTAGTTGTTTCTAGGGCTGAATCAATTAATCGATTATTTAAATAATGTAAACTAATTTAGTAATCGATTAATCGTTAATTGGAATGTAGACTGTGAATTATGCCTTAAACTGACAGAGCGACCCACTTAGAGCAGCAAATATACAAACATTGTAAAAAAAATATATAAATATTTTGCATTCAAGATTAAGAAAAAGCCAATATGCTCTATCGAGAACTCCTAAGGTGGAAAAGTTTTTGTTTCATCTGGTTTAATTTGGTAAAAATCTTCTTTTAACAAACCTTTGCATATCAATTATTAACCAATTCATCAAAAATATAATCAACAGATCGATTTGCAAAATAGTCGTCGTTGCAGCCCTAGTTTCTATAATTACGGTGTCTATGTGACATTGTGAGGAGGAGAATGGCGGTGGGAATGGTTTAGAGGAAGGGAATATTTGTTTTTGTCATAAGATTGGCTCAGATGCTAGTTTTCCCCTCTGCTACACACTGCCAGTCAGCTTGCTGAAACAAACATCATAGGGTTTTGCCTAACATGTGAAACGGCTGGTTTCAAACACAGACATCACCTTTGCTGATGCAAGATTCTTTTACATCTCCCATCAAATATAGATCTACAATAGATCTATATTTAGATGCAGGCTGCAAGCTAGCTACTTGAAAACATAGCCTGACAAGCTAACGGGATGTATTTAAATCTTTTCATATGGAGCACACAGGAAAAACAATGTTAAACATTTTTGCAAAACAAAAAGAAAAGGTAAAAGAAAAAAATAGATGTTGTGTATATAGATGGTATTTTTTCCGCTATAGTGGAAATAATGATTTAAAACAAAATTTTTTCTTTGATGCAGTAAAACTGTAGCTAATTTTGCAGGTTCATTTCTAGACCACAGCTCGAAGTTTTGACTTTTGTAGTCTGGGGCAAGTTAGTTGAAGTTAGCAAGAAAAAATAACATTAAAGCAAGTTAGAAGCAATATATTATTTTCCTCGGCTTACGAGTTGTTGGATCAGAACTATAGACTGTGCAACATAACGTGGTGATTTGCTACTTAGTGAAACAGAGAAAGTATTGTTGAAGGTTTTCACGCTGTTTTCTTGTTGCCCTCATCTTAAAGTCTTACCACTAGGAAATTAGACAACCTAGAGAGATACACTCTCCACTGATTAACAGTTTTCATGGCTCCAAATCTGAATTTTAAGGCTGATCCAGCTGACAAACCATTAAGTCCAAATGCAGTGGAACAATAAAGCTGTCAGACCAGTTGGTAGGTCATTTGACCTCTTTGAGATCCAACAGTTTTTTTTCATTTTGCCCTCAGTTTTTTTAAATATGAAACAGGTGGGGGAGCCGCCCTTCATTCATACCCTCATTCCTACCTGCTCTAACAACTGATGGTTGAATATAGTTTTATGTATTTTACTCAGATTAAGGAAATATGATGTGACTTGGTGTTAGTTTGATCTCCGGTTTGTTTGTCATGTCTCACAAGATTCAATCCAGCAAAACAAAGATCTGAGCTATAATAAATTAGTAAATGGGAATCCAGTGTCATAGATAATATATGTCTATCATTAAGCAAATTATAAGTCAAATATTTTAGCATTTTTATAAACTCCTTTATTTTTCTTTTAAAAAAGAAAACCCGTCTCTTTGTTGTAACAGGTGGAAACAAACCATTAGAGCATCGCTAGTTTTTTAGCTTACTCTGTTCTTTGTGATCAAACTGGCTGCATGTTGAACCTAAAAGTTTGCATCTTATTGTTGACATAACTCAACTTTATAGCTAAACATCTTAATATGTTCATGGAAAGTTTTTTTTTTTTTTTTTTTAAGTTTTGATTAATTTTGACTGAAAAATGACCGGGATCTCCCACAGGAGTGGAAATGTGGGAACGGCAGACCTGATGAGCCTACAGGGTTGTCTGCTATGACTTCTGAGCTGTTTTCTGTTTCTCCTCTCAGCTATCTCAAACAGAGCAGCAGCTCCAGTTCCTGCAAACCCATGCTGATCTTTCCATTTGCCTTTTTGCTCAGTTTCTCAGAAACGCTGAGCCTGTGGCCCGATTCAGGGTCTGTTTTGATTCCTTTTTATTTTCTTCAGGTTTCAGCACTAAAAACAAACCCCTGAGATGATAGATAGCACCTTGGCTATTGACTGTAAAGTCTGCACCTTAGCGGCGATGAGTAATAATGAAACGATAAAGAGTCGTCTGAAAGTCTTTATCATTAAAGGCGGCTTTGTATGCGTCATTTTTAAAGAAATTAGTTGACTAGCATGTTTCTTATAGCTGCCCTCCGCCCTCGCTGCATTCCGGGCAAAGGTCTCTGTATGTCGGCCTCTTTTAACAGTGATACAGACGGATTGGGGGGGCGTAAGCCCATCAACAACTCATTGGCCCATGTGTTTTTAATAATCCCCTCCTACCCCCAAGTCATAATTAGAATAATCAAAGCAAAGCGTGATTTTTCTTTTTTTTTTCTGTGACGCACACACACACCAGCCCACTTTACAGGAGCCCTTATAAAGTCCTCAGAGAGCAGGAGGATGGGAAGCTGGGATGAAGGGGGGGGGGGTCCTTAGCTTTGAGTCAAGCGTTGGGATTATTGGGTCATGCTTTGTTACCCAGCTGTAGAAAACCCCTTGTTCGCAGACAGAGGGCGGAGGGGGGAGGTCAGGGGGGTCGCGGGGTGTACACGTACGCGTTTCTCGCCGAGACGCTGGAACTGATCCGTCTGTCTGACTGTTAACGCTTTAGCAAAGTAAGTGAAGATGTTTCAATACCTAGACTAACTTTGCTTTGAAGTCTCAGAGATGCAAAGTGCGGGAGGAAAGGCCTGCAAAGCTGTTTAACGCCAAATGATTATTATTAATAAATGTAAGTCTGTGTGTTTGGTAGTTTAAAGAAGTGTTCAGAGGCTGGCCTTATCTGCTAATGTTTGCTCAGATGTAATTTCCTGGCAGGATGGCCTCGGGGTTCCTCATCGCGGTATTATGGCTTCCCATCCTCTGGTGTTTGAAAACCCTTCAGTTTTTTGAAAGTGTCTTGTGATGAGACCCAGACCGAAGGCGGGGGGAGGCAGGCAGCTCTGCATTGGTTGCCTCATTTCCAACCGTTCTTCCTCTCTGGAGTCTCCACTACTGATTCCACCACCACTGCTTACATTTGATCCCAGCTTCTTCCCAAATATATATGGATCTGTATGTTTTTTTTTTGTTTTTCGTTTTTGCATCCTTAGATGCTTGTTTCTCCTAAGATCACATAGATCAGAAGCCACCGTCAAACTTTTTTGTTGTAAAGGTCCGTTGGTTAGTTCAGACGATGCTTTTTAAAGGCGTCCTCCACTCGCTGATGTTTCTGCACTGCCGGTTGAGATGGCGTTGGTTGTTTTAAGAGAG